CACAAAATAAACTTTAAACATATTTTCAGGCGAGAATGTGGGTGTGTAAACTTCAAATATCTGCTCGGTTTGTCAAGATATGACATATTTGCAAAGGTCCTTCGACGTTTTCGGTGACGTCTGTCACCCCACCAGCTGAACACAAAAAACGGAGAAAGATTTCGGGGTCCATTTTCAATTTTCGTGCCGTGGCGCTGACAACCGGAAATACTCTGAATTAAGGGCGAGAGTAGATGGAGAAGGCTACACCGTCCAATTCCATAGCCGTTTACTTCCGGCCTACCCGACCTCCTGAGGACCCGGCCCACGTAGACCGCGAAGGCCGGGTCCTCAGGAGGATGCAGCCCATGAATTTGGACACGACCATGGAATAAAACACGAGGGGAAACGAGGGCTCACAGATACACAGAGGGGCACACAGGGGGTAAAGGTCACAAGGGGAAGTCAAATAAGGAACAAAATACAAAAATACATGAAACTAAGAATGCTGGACATGGCCCAGGATCATGACACCGCATGCACAGATGTCTTCTAATAATAAACTAACATTTTTCCTGTCAGGTGCAGTACCAATATTCTTTGTATGCCAAAACAACATCTCTGGTCCTTTATTCTCATTATAGGCTCCTTGGGCACAGCAGGCAGAGTGTGCAACAAGTCCTCAAGAGGCATAGATGGCTGTGAAGTCATGTGCTGTGGGCGTGGCTACGACACCATGCGAGTCAAACGTGTCACTAAGTGCGAGTGCAAGTTCAAGTGGTGCTGCGCTGTGGAGTGCAAAGACTGCGAAAACGTAGTGGACGTTCACACCTGCAAACCCCACAAGCGACCCGACTGGCTGGACGTAACCTAGGAAGGAGAGCGGACAAATCGAACGTGCACCTGACTCGTTAGCCTGTGCACTAATGACTCCACTCTAGTTGGGAGCTTTTAACTATAATACCTCTGGCTTTTGATGCTTTTATACTTCACAAACATTTGTTAGGTGATGGTAAACTGGAAATTAGAACCAGTTACCGATCATGTGCTGCTTTAAAAAGTGTTTTAAAAAATAATGTGTTGAGCGTTTTTGAATCAGACTTTGAAACTTTGATGCAAAATGGCTTAATATTATATTCTGTTGTAAATGTACCCTTGGTTGAGGCAGATATATGAGCTACTGCCGGCTTCTTGTTTTATAGTATGTAAAAACTGTGTGCACGTAAGAGATGAAAGAGATAATCACAGTAGTACTTTGTCTGCCGATCGCTCCTTCAAGGTTGCCTTGTACACCTCTATCAGAACGCTCTCTGGTAGTGCACTCACACTCCACAGTGGCAAAACAGTGACCTTTAAATTTTTAACTTAATTTTATGAAAAAAGATCCAAGTTGTTTAGAACCAAATGTAATGGGTAGGGTGAGTGGTAAGGGAAATGTCCCGTGATAGCTCCAGATGTTACAGCAGACCTCTCCACATGATTACTTGGAGACTGGTGTTAGCCTGTGGTTTTTGCTTTTCCAAAACCTTTTTGATCCCACCGTGCACCCGAAACCACTGCTGCTAATTTGTGCAGCTATCACACTAAATAAATATAGTGCTTTCCAAGAGGTCTTTCTTAATAAAGACAGGTAATCACATTGTAAGGTCAAAGGAGCCACAAACAGAAGAGCAAGCAAAGACTTATCATTTACAGCAGGGGTGTCAAACTCAAATACACAGTGGGCCAAAATTCAAAACTGGAACAAAGT